GCATTAGTAGCCAACTTCCCGCAACACCCACTGGACGCCTATCGGCAACAACTCCTTATAAAACAGCGCTGTCCCGTTTTCCTGGCGGCGTTCAAGGTTCGAACGCTAAGACAAATAGGTCAACTGGCTGCACTCGCACGCACGTTGGACACACCGAGTATTGACGTGTTTTGTGTCCGAAACTAGGATCAATGACTTTAATGGGATTGTTAAATTAACCGTGCCCGACTTGTCCTTTCGCTGTCGGTTGCAAGCAATCTGGAGACGCTGATGCAATACTCACGAGTCAAGATGCGGTAGGTATGGTTCTCAGCTTCAAGGCTGAGTCATGGTTACTGGATTGGATTCCCGTGAACAGCCGTTTGACGACATCATGTAAGGTTGATTCACGAAGTAGTACAAGACGCTGTTTGTTTGCGGTTACTGCTTATGCTCCCAACGACTGCAGTTCTGGTGCTTCCAAAGACAGATTCTAAAACGAACTGAACACGCTATTACGTAGTGCTACCAGTCCAGATATCACAGCACTTTCAGGGGACATGAATGCACAAGCTGGGCGTCTGAATTCTTCAGAAGCTCAGCTAGGCGGTAATTATGGGCTTAACTCCGAACAGACTGGTAACTGCGAGCGAATTTTGCAACCGCGCATGAAGCACCGGCTGTTTTTAAGTAGCCCCGGTTTTAGATACGGTGAGCGCCGAAGCGAAACTTGGCGTCCTCCTGGAGCTGGCCAGTAATAGACCCAAACTGATCCCATTGCCATAAGTTACAGGTGCCGTGATTCCATGCTGGATTGCTGCTCGTTCTGGAATACCTACGTAGGCCGGTGGCCGGGTGGTATGCGTATCTGGTTTGCAACCATAAGGTCCCCAGTCGAATCTGCGTAGGGGCAGGCGTCCTCGTGGTATACTCAGCCCATGCGCGACTGGTGGTGGTCGCATGGCAGCGAAGCGCCGCTACGGCGTACAGCTTGCGATCTATTCTATCTACCTAGGTCGAGTCTGATCATGCCTTGGTACGCTATCGTTTTCCATTAACTTTACCGTGGCGTATCAAATGTCCCCGTCGATTGGTGACTGAGAAATTATCTCGGCCATCGGTCAGGCAAGCATACCAGGATGTATTACGTACCGAACTTTCACTGTATTGTCCTAGAAATTTATTCACGCACAGCGAGGCCTCACGGCAAGTTGTCGCCGCCCTTTAATATCTCCAGCAATGTGAGACAAGGATGCCCGCTGTCACCTTTCCTCTTCAACTTCGCTGTTCCCGAAGTTATGGAAATCGCGTTCACAGGACACGATTAAGAAGGTGTGGATCTGCTCATAGGAGAACAACTTCTTGACTTGGAGTATGCTGATGATATTGCTCTAATCTGTGACAGCTCCCAGACGTAACAAGCAGCACTGGACAAATTAGTACTGTTTGTCAGCCGCTTCGGGATTTGCTTTGTACCATCGAAGTGCAAAGCTTTCCTCCAAGATTGGTCTGGACCGCCTCCTTCGCTGTCCCTTGGTGGGGATCAGCTAGAAGTCGTTCAGAAATTCAACCACCTGGGAAGTTGTATCAGCGCCCGTGGGATTGAAGATGAGATCACGAACCGTATAGCAAAAGCTCTGAACGCTTTTGCTAACCTTCGCCACTTATGCCGCCGGCGCGACATCACTCTTGCCCTGAAGGGTAGAGTGTACAATGCAGCGGTACGTTCGACCCTACTGTACGGTTGCGAAACCTGGCCCCTCAGATCAGCGGACATAAAGAGGCTAGTTACGTTCGACCACCGGTGTCTTCGCAATTTAGCCCAAATCTAGTGGGAACACCGAGTGAGCAACGAGCGTGTTCGACGCCTCATTCACGGCACAGGAAAAGGAAGTGAACCGCTCAGCACTGTTATTTCACACACCAGACTCCGATGGCTCGGCCACGTGTTACGCATGCCAGCCCACCGACTCCCGCGACGTGCGTTGTTTGCGCGCCGGGGTGTGGATGGAAGAAAAGGAGGGGTGGCCAAGTGATGACTTGGTCGAGAGGAATGAAGGTCCTCACTTCAAAGCTGGCCTCAGTTGGAGCATCTCGAGTCCCTGGATAGGGTCCGAAAGACGATGAACACGTTTGGTGGGACAAACTTGTTGATATGGCTAGGAGCCGACCTCAGTGGCGTTCGTGCTGTGAGTTTCGTTGTCCCACCCTATCACTCTTAGCCTCCTCCTCCAACCACGATCTCATTAGTTAGCATTTTAGAATTTTGCATAATAAATTACTTTTTTCTGCTGCATAGTAGCCGGCAGATAACTTACCGGAACGATGCCCATCCGTTACCGGCAGCTCAGCTGGCTTGCATCTGTTGCATTTTATTCTCCTTTTTCTTTTATGTATTGCGGCACGGTAGCTGAGGTGTTCCCCACCTCTAGCTAACGTGTATAATGTGTGTGTGTGTATTGCTCTAATGACAGAGCTTCAGTGGAATAGCATCTCGGCCGCTACGCACGACACAGCTGCTTAGTTACTTTCACTTTATTCCGGCCAGCTCCTGTGACAGGATGAGCTTGCTTCATGAATGTCGCGGATTTCAGCTACCCAAGAGGCAAGCTTCAGGCAGATACTGATCCAAGGATTTTATAATAACGAGCACCATGCACAACCTGGAGTCTCAGAAGATCGACATCCGATTTCACTGCAGCGAGCATTGTTTTCAATTGTCCACCACGGTATCTGCCTGTGATAATATCGATCGTCACCGCAACAGTCACAGGATATCCGAAAGGTCGGTGAACCTGTTGGAATCCAGACGAAAACTCCGCTAGCTCTGAGCAGAATGGGACCCGAGACTATTAAATGCGGATCAAAACGGAGCTTATGTGCTGAGAAGGAAGACTGGTGGACCAGTCGGGCTCAAGAAATGGAGGAGGAAGAAGCAGTAGGCAATTATCGTAACCTCTTCCAGCTGACCCGCACTACTGGT